GGCGCCCGTGCCGCCCACCGAGCTGGTGCCGTCGGAGCGCGCCGTGGTGCTGCTGTCGTGCGCGCTCTCCGCGCTCGGCTCGGGCCTGCTGGTGGCCACGCACGCCCTGTGGCCCGACCTGCGCAGCCAGGCGCGGCGCCTGCTGCTCTTCCTGTCGCTGGCCGACCTGCTCTCGGCCGCCTCCTACTTCTACGGGGTGCTGCTGGACTTCACGGGCCCCTCGTGGGACTGCGTGCTGCAGGGCGCGCTCTCCACCTTCGCCAACACCAGCTCCTTCTTCTGGACGGTGGCCATCGCCCTCTACCTGTACCTCAGCATCGTCCGCGCTGCGCGTGGTCCCCGGGCCGGCCGCCTGCTCTGGGCCTTCCACATCGTCAGGTGGGTGGCGGCGGCGCTGCTTCCCCTCGAGCCCCCATCCCCGAGTCCCGTCTGGGCCCTGCCTACTGCCCCTGTGGCCCTCGCGCCCCTGCGGCGCCCGCGCCTTGGTCGGATCCCCGGATGAGCGGCAGGCGGGCAGTGTCATGCCCCGGGGCAGCCCTGGGCCAGGCGGAAGATGCTAGGCTTTTGTGGGACATGGACCTGTCCTGAGCATCGCCGCAGAGGGCACCCCTTTGTGCCTGCCCCAGCCCTAACCTCAGCGAGGTGGGCGCCTCAGCGCAGCCGGTTGGAGGGTGGGCCAGAGCTCACCCATCGGAGGCCGGCCCTGGTAACTTAGAAGCACCTGGAGAGCTGCTGGGCCCCTCGCCTCCTGCTTACTGCGTTGTGGCCGTCTCGGCTGCCCGTGGGAAGAAGCGCCTGGTTCCCAGGCTGGGAGATGAGTTAGGTGGCTGCCCCAGGCTGGAGAGCAGGCAGCTCCCTATCCCAGGGCACAGCAGATGTGGTGCATTCGGCCACTCCCAGGCTGCCGGTCCGTCCAGCCCTCTGCCGAATGCAGTGCCTCAGCTGTAAAATTTACAAAGGACTGTCTTCTTTTTTAATCTTTGCTCATCTCTAGACCTTAGGCCTCAGTCTCTTGTTATCTCTGTTCTAGACGATCTTGACTTTCTTTCTGGAGTTCAGCATCTCTGAAGTTGAGGTCAGTGGAAGAGGCTGGTTGGAAGAGGGCCACCAGCTGCCTGGAGTCTCTGAGAGTAGAGACTTCCTTCCTCACCTAAGGAAGAAGGTTGGCCCTTTCCTGGTGTAATTTCACCATTGGAACATCTGGTGGTGTCCTGTGCTGAACCCAAGGCTTGTAGGGTGAATCTTATAGGGCTTGTTGCCTCTTCTCCCTCCCCCAGATAAGAGCACCAAATGCTGCCCTAATTATAGGTCCTCTCTGTTACATACTTGAGTGCTTTCCAGGGGACTGAGGACAGTCAGCACTTTGGTAGAGACAGATCACCTGGGTGTCACAACGGTGAGGTCACAAGCCTGCAAGATTCAGTTGACCTCCAGGTCTCAGAACTGTTGGATGGAGGCCAGCTGGTCCCAGGAAAACTAAATGGCCTGCTTCTCAGCTGTTCAAGACAAAATTTTTGCAAGGAGCCATTTGGACAGTGCTTCAGACGCTGTAGAGACCCACAGAAAGGGGCCTGCCTTTGCTCCCCTGGCAACATCCCTCTTAACCTCTGTGTCCATTTCAGAGACTTCCTTAGCTGGCTGGTTGGGTGTGGGCAGTGTGTACACCCAGTTCATGTGTACTGGAGAAGGAGCCCAAAACTTTCTTTGAGAGAATCTCTTCTCTTTTTCCCTGTCTTTTTTAAAATATTGAGTACCATATATTTTTTAAGTGATAGAGAGAACCTGGTGCAGCTCCTATAGAAAAGACAAATTTCCTAAGAAGCCTAAGCTGGTGTTCTTTCTGTTCACTGCTAAGGCTGTTTTCTGTGATGCTTAGGAAAGGCCTCCTAAGAAAGTCTGTGTCCCCTTCTGGCCATAAAAAAGAAGCAAATTGTTCATCTTGTCTCTTGAGTGTGATCCACCTGCCTCTTGAAAGAAAATTACCTGTATCTGAGCTAGAAAGGGACTTGGACAATTTATTCCCTTTCAGAAGTTAGCACTCACTTTGCTTTTCTAAGAGAGTTGGTAAAACCCGTCTAACAGGTTCATCTATTGACCGAGATCCTCCCAGACTATGTTGCTAATGACCTTGCTCAGGACTCTTCAGCGTCTTTCTTGGAAGTATTAGTTATTGTTGCTGAAGGACCTGTTTGGCGTGAGAAATCTCATCTTCAGACATAGGCTACACGGTCATCCGCTTGTTAACTATTTCACTCTACTGATAATCAGTCCTCTTCTTCCGACCTTCCAGTCTTGGAACGCATTTTAACAAAAAGTTGATATCTGTATTCTGTAAAGAGTTTTTATGAATTGATTATTTAAAAAACTGACAGATATCCTGATAAATGGACAAAGGATACATTCAGACAAAATAGTACAAGCAGTTGATGAATATATATGGGAAAAAGTTTAACCCCATTAATACTCAAAACAATACAAGTTATAACGGGGTACCATATTCTCATTAATTTAGAAGAAAAAAATAGGCCAAATACTAACATGAAAAATGCCAGTGAAACTGGTATTTTCCTACATAATTATTGTCAATGTAAATTGGAATAATCCACATAAAAAGTATTTGGTTCATACCCCTTGATCCAGTAATCCTATTTATAGGGCCCTAGACTGAGAAGATAATCCAAAATACATGCAGAGCTGGGTGTGCAGAGGAGTTTGTGTGGCACTATTTTCATGGTGAGAATTTGAAAGCAACCTCAATGTCCAAAAAATAGGGGAACAGTAAGTTATAGACTACACCCCACCCGGAAATGTTATGCAGGCATAGAATACTGGCTGTGAACTCTGTAAATCTATTTTAAATGGTACGATACAATGTTAAGTGAAAAGAGCCTTCTGTAACACTGAATGCAACCATGTAGGGCAGGAGGCTGGAGAGAAAGTGCAGTGACACAAGTTCCCAGAAAGCGCCTGCTGGGCCCCCAGGAGCCCCCTCGAAATGCCGGGCATGGTTCCCTTTACAGCAAGGTGTTTTTTCCCACTGGAGGAGGAGGGCAGCTTAGACTTTATCCTCAGGGAAACCCTAGTTCATCACAAGCTGGTCTGGCTCCTGAGGTCTTGCTAAGGCGCATTCCTTAGCTCCTTGATCACCAGTAACCCAAGGGAGTGGGCAGGACAATTACCCTCCAGACTGGCCGCATAGCCAGGTGGGAGGCTCAGGGTTAGAACTCCAGTCTTTTATAATTCCGTCTTGACTCTTGGCCTTGACAATAATTTTTTAAATTGAGATAAAATTAGACCGTAATTTAATTTTAACTTTCCAGATTCCGCCCATTATTAACATTTTATCGTGTAAGCTTTATCATCTCCAATTATTTGTTTTGGACCCATTTAAGAGTAAGTTGCAGACCTCATGCCCCCGAACCCCTAATCCTTTAGTGCGTGTTTCCAAGAGTCTCTTATATAACCACATACACCTTCCAAAAGCAGGAGATGAGCACGGAGCCGTGCTGTTATCTGACTGTGGACGTCATTGAGATTTGTCAGTCTTCTAATAACGTTCTCGGTAGCAAAGGAAGATCTTGGCTTATGTATTGACTTACTTTTCATGTCTCCTTATTCTTCTTCAATCTGGAAGAGTTCTCCCGTCTTTCTTGGTATTTCACGACACTGACTTTTTGGAAAAGTGCAGCCTGTTATTTGGTGGAATGACCTCTGCTCGGGTTGTCTGATGCTTCCTCATGGGTGGGTTCATGTTCTGCACTTCTGGCAGGAATGTCACAGCAGCGTGTTTTTCTCCTTGCTTCCTCCCCACGACTTGGATTTGTCTCATGGTGATAATGTTGATCACCTGGTTAAGGCATTATCTGCCAGTTCTCCACTGCAGTTACGATTTTTTCTTTTGTAGTTAATACATATTTTGTTGAGATAAATATCCTGTTACTCTTCAGACTTTCAGCCAAGAGTTGAGCATCGCTGAGTCTGACAGTGTTCTAATGTGAATTTCCTGGTGGTGGTTGCATGTTTAAGGTTGTGTGAGAGTATTCAGTGTTCAGCCCTGTATTAAGAAGTCCGTTTCTACTGTATCCTAGCTGTTGAGGCAGCAGGATGCAGAGGCCCCTATTTCACATCCGTGTGGATGTGTGCCTGGCTGTCTATTTACAATACACATGTAGGAAGGGTCTGATAAGCTCGGGCCCAGCGCTGCTGTGGGTAGGGTCAGTTCCCTTCTGATCACATAAGCCAAGTTGGCCTGAAACCATCCCTGTGCACCTGCAGGAGGTGACCTGCCTTTCATAAGCAGTTGTCAGCCCCTCTTCCGCCCCAGGCTGATGGGCTTCTTCTGGGGGAAGCCAGGGCAGGGTCAGTGAACCATCCCCCCACCTGCACACCCCGGGCCACTGCTGTGCCAGGCATCAGCCAATGTGTCCTGTGAGTATGGGGGGAAGGCCGGGCTGAGGGGTGCGTCATCTCGCCTGTCAGAAGTAAGGGTCCTGGCCAAGCTGACCACCTCTGGAAGTCTTAGGATTTCCTCCGACTCTGCTGAGGTGGGAGTGGGTGTGGGCATGACCCCTGGCAGGGATGGGTCCTGTGCCCCGGCCCACGGGCACTCCCACCCTCTAGAGTTGGCTTGGGAGTTCCCGAGGAGGAGGGTCTGTGGCATCGCAGGGTCACCCTGCTGTGGGGAGTGGGGAGTTCCAACGTAGAGAAAAGGGGAACCGTGGCCCTGAAAGAGAAGGTCCTCTGAGCTCTCTCATCAGAAAGCAGCTCACTGTGGGGCCTAGTGACGCGGCTGCAGGCAGAACTGACGGTCCCTGGACAGGGCCCTCTGAATGAGGGGTGGGCGCGGTGGCTGCATGAACAGCACCCCACGTTGGTCAGTGCTCCCCAAAATATCACGAGGTGAACTTTCATTTGTTCCCCCAAAAGTTTTGAGGGCAGTGCCGTGGAGCCAGTTCTCTGCATTTGGGTGTTCACGGGAAGCCGGCTGCAGCCCCAGGGGCTGAGAGCAGTGGCTGCCCCTTGACCCTTGTGCCAGGGCAAGGTCAGATTCTGCCCGTCCTCACCCTGGGCCCCGTTGGCCCAGCCCCAGGGGTGCAGAGAGCATCTCTGAGCGCTGCAGGATGGCTCCTCGGTGCCCACCAGAACCGGGGCTGCAGAAAGGGTGCTCGGCTTTGTGTGTTCAAAAGTGCTTTTGGACACCTCCCCCTTCTGTGGCCAGAGCTGCAGAGTGACCTCGTCGTGGCCTGGCCAGTGGCTGACTCCCTGCACTCCTCCCACGGCCGGCCCCTCTGCCCCCCACCTAACAATAAGTGCCCATTGTTCCTAGAGGGGACCTCCAGGCGGCCGTGGCCTTGTGATTCTTCCACCAGGCCGAGCCC